CACAGAAATGTTTCCAGAAACTTCTACTTTTAAGCAGCTTATACTCAGAGTGAGTTTGCTGTAAAATAATCAATCATCTGTATGGGATTATTGATACTGATCAATTAAATATTGGAAAATGACTAATAAATAAAACTTTTGTTATTCTCTGATTACTTTTCAGCCCTTTCTCCTGACATTAGGTCAAGGGACCATTTGTTTCTTATGGCTCATAATGAGAAGATTCTGGCATGTCTGTGGGAAGATATTGTTCCTCTCTTCAGTATGTCTTTGGAGGCAGGGTTGCAGTTCCTTTAAAGAGTGAAATTATTATTAATAAATGCTTTTTGTTTCTTTTTTTTTAAGAATATATATATTTTTTTGGCTGTCGGGTCTTAGTTGCGGTACATGGGCTCTTCGTTGCACCGCACGGGCTTCTCTCTAATTGTGGTGCGCGGGCTCCAGGGCGTGTGAGCTCTGTAGTTGTGGCACGCGGGGTCCAGGGCGCGTGGGCTCTGTAGTTTGTGGCACGCAGGCTCTCTAGTTGAGGTGCACAAGCTCAGTAGTTGTGGCGGGCGGGCTTACTTGCCCCGCGGCATGTGGGATCTTAGTTCCCCAACCAGGGATCGAACCCACGTCCCTGCACTGGAAGGTGGATTCTTTACCACTGGACCACCAGGGAAGTCTCAATAAATCCTTTTTTTAAGTGTTGGGAGAGAAGAGACAAAAATACTTCCTTTCTTCCCCATATAACTTTAAATTCTGTTTGAACAGAGGAATATTTTCTTGCTGTAATAAAGATTATATCAAATCAGTAACCATCATCATTCTCAGTGATGAAACATTTATGACAATTTTGTTAAAACCAAGTGCAAAGATCACCACTATCATCATTTTGTAATTATTAGTAATATGATTTTGGAAGATCTATGTAATGCCATAAGACCTAAAAAAGAAAAAGGAATGATCTATTGGAAAGAATGAGATAGACTCATCATGTCACAGACAGTATGTTTGTATACTAACAAAACCTGGAGAGAGTCACCTAAAAGCAGTTACGTTTAATTAAGAATTTAGGAAAGTGACTTAAACATTATTCTGATGGGGGGTTGGTGGTGGTGGGATGAAATGGGAGATTGGGATTGACATATATACACTAATATGTATAAAATAGATAACTAATAAGAACCTGCTGTGTAAAAAAAAATTAAATATGGGAAAAAAAATAGGATGCCTGGGTTGGGGGGGGTGGAGGGGAAGAATAAAGGTCACTTCCCAAGGTCCATGTGGGAGTTCTCCCATCCCTTCTGCTCTCTGTCTCTTAGTTTTCAAAGATCTCCACTGGTAAGAGAATACGGTATTCAAAATTGTTAACTGATTAGGGAGTCAGAAAATCCTCAAAGGGACCTCGCTTTGGCTGGGGAAACAAGTTTCCAAAGCAAAATAAACAATTTCGATTCCATTGGTGAATCTCTATAAAGAAAAGTCACTGTTACCCAAATTATATTCTTGCAGAAGAGCTAATGAGTGTAGATTCTGCCGCAGGTTTTATCTCCTGTTTCTGGATTAAAGAAAAGGACATTCTCTGGTGGATAAAGCCTGGGAAGGTGGGGATGAAAAAAAAAACACAAAACATTATTCTGGTATATCAGCAATTATCAGTAAGAAACTCCTATGGGCAAAATACATGTATAGTAGCATATTGCCCCCAAATAGTCATGAACAATCCAGGAATAATCTTAAAAGAAATGACCAGGACTTGGCGAAGATGTTTAACTAAACATCTAAGAAGTAATGTTTAACTAAACATAAAGAAGTAAACTAAGAGGTAATGTTTAACTAAACATTACTGAGAAAAATTAAAAGAAAATTTGAGGGACTTCCCTGGTGGTCCAGTGGTTAAGACTCCACACTCCCAATGCAGGGGGCCTGGGTTTGATCCCTGGTCAGGGAACTAGATCCCACATGCTGCAGCTAAGAGCCCACCTGCCGCTACTGAAAATCCCACGTGCCACAACTAAAGATCCCTCATGCCGCAACTAAAGATCCAACCCAGCACAGCCAAATAATTAAATAAATATTAAAGAGAAAAGAAAATTTGAATAAACAGAGAAACACACTGTGTTCCTGTATGGAAAAATAGAATATCATAAGGATGTCATGTCTTGCCAAGTTTAGTTTATATGTTTAATGAAATTTTTTTGTATTTTGAATCCATTTCTATTCATTTAACATTTTAAGAATTTAATCTAAGTGTCATTCTGTTAAGAGTATATAATGGTGTGCTTAAATATTCCCTTATTTGCTTAAAATTTAGGTTGCTCCCACTTACTTTTCATGATAAGAAATGCTGTGAAGAAGGGCTTCCCTGGTGGCGCAGTGGTTGAGAGTCCACCTGCCAATGCAGGGGACACGGGTTCGTGCCTGGTCTGGGAAGATCGCACATGCTGTGGAGTGGCTAGGCCCGTGAGCCATGGCTGCTGAGCCTGTGCGTCCGGAGCCTGTGCTCCGCAGCAGGAGAGGCCACAACAGTGAGAGGCCTGCGTACCGCAAAAAAAAAAAAAGAAATGCTGTGAAGAAAATCTTTACACATAGAAAGTTCTCTCTTATTATATTTTGTACCTCCTATGACAGATTCTCGTAGAAGACAACTTAAAATACTCAGTGTTATCAATATGCAGCTTGATTAAACAACTTTAATCAAAATCTCCATGGGATTAAGAAATTGAATAACAATTAATTTGGAAAAAATAGGTGAATATAAATGTAGCCAAGTAAAAGTTTAAAAAAAATTGTGAAGAAGAAAACCAGGCTCTCCCAAGCATTGTGAAATGTTGTGAAGATAAATTAGTTAAATCAGTGAAGTATGTGACCCAGAAATAGAATTTGGTCTATGTGGGAATATATGCTAGAGGAGTCACTACAAACCTGTGAGTTTGGGGAGATTATTTAACAGGGGGAATTGGCACCATTGGGTAGTTTTTTGAGACAAAATTAATCCTCACCTGGTACCATATACCAAAATAATATCCAGCTGGATTAAAAGGGTGAAGTGTGGGCTTCCCTGGTGGTGCAGTGGTTGAGAGTCTGCCTGCCGATGCAGGGGACACGGATTCGTGCCCCGGTCCGGGAGGATCCCACGTGCCGCAGAGCGGCTGGGCCCGTGAGCCATGGCCGCTGAGCCTGCGCATCCGGAGCCTGTGCTGCGCAACGGGAGAGGCCGCAACAGTGAGAGGCCCGCGTACCGCCAAAAAATAAAAAAAAGGGGAGGGTGAAATGTGAAACAAGTGAAAACATTAGAGGAAAATCCCTGTATTCACCCACTCAGCAGATGGTCACTGAGCTAGGCCTGGGCCAGGTGTCTGCTCCTGCATGTCAACTCTGACCTTGGAGGAGCTGCAGGTGCACAGAGGAGCGTGAATGGGCCTGGCTCCACCAAGAGGAAGACATGGATGCTGGGGTGGTGTTGAGCAGGTGGCTCTGCCCTGACAGGGTCTGGGAAGGCCTTCCCGAGGAGTGGAGGTCTGAACCCGAGAGACCCCGAGCTGGTGAGGCCGTGCAAGGAGCCCTGAGGGGCTGTGTTTGAAGACCCAGAGGTCATGCTGGCAGACCAAGGGTGAGACTTGATGTGAGTGAAGAGCTTGGCAGGATCTGGAGCTTATGAGGCTTGAATAGCATGTGGAGCAGTTCACAGTGAATCTTGAAGGTTTTGGGAACTGATTGAAAACAGGGCAGTGTGCCAATGTGTTTGAAAGCCTGGACTGGGGGAGGCAGGGGAAGGGGTCCTAGGAAAATGGTGGAGCACAGGTTGGACGTGATGGTGGCTTACAGCTGGCAGATAGTGAAGTGGACAAACTCAGAGACATTCAGGAGCAGGACAAAAGAGATGGACGGGGAGTCACAGTGGGCACTGGCGCTCGGGAGCCTGGTGGAGGGAGCAGAGGCTCAGGTGGTCTTCCTAGCGGCCACCCTATTTGAAATGATATCTTGCCCCTCCTTGCAGGGATTTTTCTTTTATTTATTTATTTATTTGGCCATGCTGTGCAGCATACGAGATCTTAGTTCCCTGAGTAGGGGTCGAACTCGTGCCCCCTGCGTTGGGAACACGGAGTCTTAACCCCTGGACCACGAGGGAAGTCCCAGGGATTTTATTTCTTTGATTTACTACTGTATCTTCATTTTGTAAAAATAGCGGTTGGCACCTGGTAGGTGCTTAGTAAATATCTGTTGAACAAGTGAACTAATGAAGGATGAGTTCCAGATTTCTGGCTTGAGCAGCTGGATAGGTGGGGCTGACGTTTCCTAACACTGGGAAGTCGGAGTTGGAGCAGGAGCAGGTGTGGAGGAAGATGTATCAGCTGATGGGTCCAGGGCTTCGGTATGTCGAGAATCAGGAAGGAATCCAATGGCAAACACTAGACTAGGGAAATATTTACAATAAATTATGTGGATGCCATCTTTAATATGTAAAGAGTACATGAAAACCAATTAGAAAAGATCACTAATATTAGTAAATAAATGGTAGTATAAACATGAGTAGAAAATCCACAAAGGATACAAATATTTGAAAAAAATATTCAGCCTTATTAATACTAAAGAATGCAAACTAAATCAGTATGACAATTTCTCTCTCATCAAATTATTAACAATTTTAAATAATGAGAATAGCGATGAACTGGTCAGAATGTAAATTTGTGCAGAGTTTTTGTGAAGTAATTTGGCAGAATGTATAGAGTGTCTTAACATGTTTATATCTTTTGATCAAATAATTCTGTTTCTGGAAGTATATCATAAGGAAGCCTGAGAAAAGCCTCTCCTGCCATGTACTCTTCCCCATCTGCTTACTTGACTCTGAAACCCTGTCTTACTTGTGAAATACCCCTGGGGTGGCACAGGTAACAGGCGACTGAAGACCGGCTGTAGAAGCAGAGGGCTCTGTATGTCTGGGAACATTTTAACAACTGGAAAACTCATCAGTGAATTTCATATTGAATTATTTGTTTTTTCTGTTGTGTTTCTAGATGAAGACCGTCAGCGTTGCCTTAGTTTTGTGCCTGAATGTTGGTGTGGACCCTCCAGATGTGGTGAAGACTACTCCTTGTGCACGTTTGGAATGCTGGATTGGTAAGCGTGGGTCCCTCTCTTACAGCCTGTTGCAGGGGTCACTGCGTGGCGTTCTGGGCTTGGCAGGACTTGCCTCCACTGTCCTGGTCCAGTGCAGGCCTGTGATTGGTTTGTGTAAATCTGAAGATTTTATTTCATTTTGCAGTTATATAACCTTTAGGCTATTTTAGATACATTCACTTATGATTTGCAGTGGAGAAAGTGTCTCAAGAAAAATTGATAAGATAATGACTATTGGATTATATAATTTTCTCCTTTAAATTTGTCCTGTATCTGGCATGTAGTACAAGCTTTATTTATTGATTGATTGATTGATTGCTGTGTTGGGTCTTCGTTTCTGTGCGTGGGCTTTCTCTAGTTGCGGCGAGCGGGGGCCACTCTTCATCGCAGTGCGCAGGCCTCTCACTGTCGTGGCCTCTCTTGTTGCAGAGGACAAGCTCCAGACGCGCAGGCTCAGTAGTTGTGTCTCACGGGCCTAGGTGCTCCGTGGCATGTGGGATCTTCCCAGACCAGGGCTCGAACCCGTGTCCCCTGCATTGGCAGGCAGATTCTCAACCACCGCGCCACCAGGGAAGCCCAGTACAAGTTATATACACTTAAACCTGAATGACTGATGCCTGCATGCACAGTGCACAGTGAGGAGTCCCACCTAGCTCTTTCCAGGAGGAGGCGAGGCTGTTCATTGTCGTCATCCTCCTCGGAGCATCTTAGCACAGTGCTGACTAGAAATGGTGAGTGTGCACAACCTTCACTTGTTTCTGGTCTTAGGGAGAATGCATTAGGCTCCCACCACTAAATAGGGCATTAGCCAAAGTTTTTTTCTGATGCCTTTTCTAAGGTAAGAAGTTCACTTCTATTTTTAGTTTGCTGAGAGTTTCCTGTCAAGAATCAATGTTGCATCTTATAAAATGCTTTCTCAACATGTTGAGATAATCACCTGGCTTTTCTCCTTTAGTCTGTTGATGTGGTGAATTATATGGATTGATTTTTTGGTTGTTGAGCCAACCTTGAATTTCTGGCATAAACCTCACTTGTATTATCTTTTTCATATGTTCCTGGATTTGACTGCTAATAGTCTGTTAAGGAATTTTGCATCTCTGTTTATGAAGGATATTGGTCTATAGTTTTCTCATCTTCTAACATATTTGTTTGGTTTTGGTACCAAAATAATGCTTGGTCTCATTAAATGAGTTGAGAAGTATTCCCATCTTTTCTTTTTTATGGAAGAGTTTGTATTGATTTGGGTATTATTTCTTCTCTAAATTTTAGTGTAATTTACCAATGAAGCCATCACAGTATGAATTTTCCTTTGTTTCCGTCACTGATTATTCAGCTTTCTCTTGTTGGTAGGATCAGGGCAACCCCCCCACCCCCAGCTTTTTCTATTCTAAGCAAAAGCAGAAATTCCCTTTATCTACTTTAAATAGTAAAAATTACAAACTTATTATAATCTGAATTGGAAAAAAAAGTTATTTTTCCCACTTACCTGTCTCGCTACTCTTTAGGGGTGTCTTAGGATGACAGCCTTTGTTTCACAGCCTCCTGCCTGAAGCATAGGCCCCTTGTTCCCCAAGCCCGGTGTCAGTAGCTGTTTTCTGTGGTCAGTTTTCTTAGATGCTTTCTTGGCTGTCTGCCATCCCCTGGTGACTGTGCCGATTGAAATTGACTTCTTATTAGCCACCACTGACTGTTTCCACTTCATTTATCCCTTGTCAAAGCTGAATTTAATCAATTGTTTTCTATTTCCTCCCTCTTTATCTACTCTTCTGTTAGGTTTTTTAACACAGGGCTTCTCAACCTGGATCCTGGTGTGTACTCCTAGGGATGTGTGAGCCCGCTGGGATTGTGTGAGCGGTGGTGTCTGAGTATAGCATTGCACCTTCCGGGCTGAGGGCCCTTGGTTTTTATTAGATTCTCTAGGGGTCCTTTGCATCCTACCCTCCTGTCCCCAAATAGAAATCAAAGAACCCTCCCTCACATCTCACCCAGTCTCTTTGATCAGTATTTATGGGACAATGTTAATGAAAACGCAAAGAATTCCTTACTTCCTTCTTGGTGTGAAATCCAGCAAACGAATAGATTTTTTAATATTGTGTTCTTAAAAAAATTTTGCAATTCACGTATGCAATCTACTTTGTAATAATTTCGATGGATTTTGAATTCAAAAGGGCACATTGCCTTTTTTTAGATTTAATTTTATTTATTTATTTGTTTGTTTGTTTATTTATGGCTGCATTGCATCTTTGTTGCTGCGCGGGCTTTTTCTAATTGTGGTGAGTGGGGGCCACTCTTCGTTGCGGTGCGCGGGCTTCTCCTTGCAGTGGCTTCTCTTGTTGCGGAGCATGGGCTCCAGGTGTGCAGGCTTCAGTAGTTGTGGCCCGCGGGCTCAGTGGTTGTGGCATACAGGCTTAGTTGCTCCACGGCATGTGGGATCGTCCCGGACCAGGGATCAAACCCGTGTCCCCTGCGTTGGCAGGCGGATTCTTATCCACTGCGCCACCAGGGAAGTCCCCACATTGCCTTTTTTAAGTTGAAAAAATTTCGCTTGGCTTTTATTAAAAAGTGGGTCCTTATGTTGGTGATTTTAACAATATGGGATAAGAAAAAAAAAACTCTTAGAGATTTGATTCAGCAAATTTGTAATGGTGTCTAGCAGCCTGTATTTTAATTTTTATTTTGAAAAAACATTTTCAAAAGTTGCAAGTAGAGCACTAAGCAGTGTTTTTCCTGATTCATTTGAAAGTAAGCTGCTGAAATGATGCTCCATCACCTTGGAATCCTTTAGTGTGTGATTCCTACAAAGAAGAGTTTCTCTTTCATAATGACAACTCGGTCTTCACAGACAGGGGATTAACATGGATGCCCTGCTACTGGGTTAGCCTCAGGCTGCATTCAAGTTTGCCAGGTGTCCCCATAAGGTCCTTTATGGCACAAGGACCCTTCGCTGTATCACCCATTGCCCTTAATTTAGTCTCATTCAGGCTGCAGCAGGCCTCAGTCTTTCCTTAACCTTCATGACCTTGACATTCAGAAGATCACCGGTGCTCTGTTTAGCAGAACAACCGCTGATGTTTCATCGGGATTAAATTTTGTTTATGCCTCTTTGGCAAGAGTGTCATGGAAGAGATCCGCCTTCCTCTGTGGTGTCCTGTCAGGTGGCACGTGACTTTGATTTATCCCATTGCTGGTTATGTAACTCTTTTATCACTTGATTAAGTTGGTGTGGTACCTGAACTTCAGCTGTGAAATCCGCCCCCTTCCCTTTTGTAGTTAATAAGTATTTTGAGGGAAGAGGTGCTTTGGCTGCGTTAATATTTCTTTCCTCATCAGACTTTCAGTTTATTCAATTTGAAGTCATGGTTTCCTTTTTTATATTTTATATATTTTTATTCCTATTTTATATTATAATCAGTGGATTGTAGTCCAATATTACCATCATTTATCTTGATACTCCACTTGTTTCCCATTTAGCTAGTGGGAACCCATTCCCACTGGCTTATATGGCCTTTTGTCTTGCTTCCATCGTCCTTAGAGTTACATCTGTACTTTCTATCTCATCTTGTCTTTCCCTGCTCCATTCCTGGGATCAGCCATTTCTCCAAGGAGCCCAGTTCCTTTTAGTGGCAAATAGAATTTGAAAACCGAGATCTGGGTTCTAGGTGTTCTTATTGGAGCTGTGTACTGTGTTGTTTCTCCCATTGCCTCTCTCATTGGACGGAGCAAGGGAATGCACACATGCACACATGTGCATAATATATGTATGTGTTTCTGTGTGGACACACATTCATATCTATATTTCAGTATTATCTATACAAATAAAAAACATGCATTACATTAGTGCCTCCCATTCCAAACCAATAGGAATTTTCCGTATTTATAACTCTTCCTCTGACAGTGAGAACCTTGGTATCCTTCATCCTTAATATATTTACTAATTTGATGAATCCTCCTCTGTGAACCAACTTCTTATCCCTGTCATCATACTCCTTTATTTTATACCCAGCTTCTTCCCCCACAGGTGTCCGTGCTCCTCATTGCCTGGGCTCCGATACCCCATATGGGTCACCACTCCATGGACATACCTTCTTTCCTTCCCCCGTACAGGCTCTGAGCCCCTGATTGGACTTGACAGCTCATTCTGGGCCACCACAGTTACCCTCATCCTAGAGCAGGTGCCAACCTTGCCCAGACCTGCCTCTCCCACCAATGGCTTTAGGATTGTTCAAGAAGGGATTTCAGCATTTTCAACAAGTGCTTTAGGTTTCAGGCTTGGCTAGCTCAAGGGATGATGATATATCAGTAACCAAGATGGAGAGTTGGGGGCCAGCTGGGCTGGGGAGATAATGGGATTACATTTTGTGTAAGGTAAGGTGCTTCTGGAATGCTCAGAGTAGAGCCACCTTCCAGCAGACAGCTGGAAAGACCTCTCTGGTTGGAGAAAGGGATTTGGGGGATGTCACCTGCTGAGAATGTGCAGTGACTAGAGGGAGAGGAGCAGAGCCAGGCCATGAGTGAGTGGGGAGGGGTGCCGCCTGTGACAGAGACCCCTCTGGGTGGGCAGAGGTAGGAGGAGGGCCAGGTGCCACTGGATGAGAGTTTCAGGTTGGCATTGTCACAAGCTGTGGCTGCAGTTGAGTGAGAGATGCTGGGAGCCTGGAAGGCGAAGGGGAGAGGTACAGTGAAGGCTTGGCTGGCGAGGCAAGGAGACCCAGGCTTGATGACGGGTTGGTTCTGCCATTTTCAGGTTGGGAATACCTGGAGTATGTCATGGGTGGGGAAGGAGTCCCTAGGAAGACCCCCTGCAGGGGTTGGTGCCCTCATATAACCTAAAAAGCTGTTTCTGTTTAGAAGGCAACCAATCGATGTTTTATATGTGGTCTTAGCATTTTGTGCTCTGTCAGCAGAATTCAAAAGGTTTTGCACTCGTCAAGACCCCAGCTTATTCATTCCAGCTGTTTCACTCAGTGAGTTCCTTAACCATTTGGGGCCTTAGTTTCCTC